CCCGGCGCCGGGGGTCGGCAGCAGCCCCGTGGCGAAGTACTCCGGTGCCTCTCCCTGTGCCCTAGAAGGTGAGCGGAGGAGCGGAGGAAGATGAACTCCCAGCAGCAGAGGATGGCCGCTATAGGAACGGACAAGGAGCTGAGCGACTTGCTGGACTTCAGTGCGGTAGGATCTCCTCCGAGGTCTTCTCGTGACTTCTGCGTGGTAAAGCGAGCTGAGGCGTAGGGGCAGCAGCGTGCGGGGCTGGGCTGGGTCCCCTCTCAGCCAAGTTGGACACCTGAACTTTGATGTAATGTCTAGACTTCCAGATTTAATACCGTAATACCAGCTGGGTCAATTGGTTTAGCTGGTTAAAATCAGGCTGACCCAGTGTTGGCATAATCTAATAATTAACGTTTGTTAAGCTGGCGTGTGGCACTGGTACTTAGGTTTCCCTTCCCCCCCACCCCCTTCTCTTTTTTTTTTATACAAACCAAAAGAAAATTTAATGCCTGTGAATAACAGAGGTTATTCATTGATAGTTTGTACAGTAATTTTGGCTTAGAAAATTATAGGTATTTTCTGTGCGATACTTTTAACGGATTTCAAAAAGGTACTTGATTTATAAACATAATAGAAAAAGAATATTTCTTCTCAAAAACTGTGTTTATCCAGTGACTTTAAACTCACAGTTCAGTAAGAGATATATTTTGAGTAGCAACATTTAAGATATATAAATAACTATTTTAGATTGCCGTAGTAGCATCAGGTCTCCTTTTAATTTTTTTTTTTTTTATTGTTTGGTTTCATATAGAAAAGTCATTTTAGTGGTATTAATAAATTGCAAGGAGTGCTTTTAGCCTATTGGTTTTATGGGTCTAAACATAAATCTTCTATTCTGTTTATTTTCTAGTAGAAAACGAAATAATTGTTTCCTATTAACTTTTAAGTTTACATTAATAATTCAGCACCGAGTTTCAAAGCAAATTTAAACACATCTTTTTTTTTTTTTCTCTTGTTTTGCAGATGTTTTCCCCACCTGTTAATAGTGGGAAAACCAGACCAACTACGCTAGGAAGCAGCCAGTTCAGTGGATCAGGTAGGGTGCATCCATGATACATAAAGTTCATGTAATGACTAGATCTTGGTGTTTTTGCTTAGTCTTTGCATGCTCAGATTATGGTAATCTGTCATTTGTACATAATCTCGTAAAACACTCAGATTAATTAGAGAGGTCCTCTTTTGATCTGACTTTATAACATGTTTTGTTAACTTTAACCACAGATTTTCTCTGTGTAGTTCCTCTACTTGTCCCAGTACAGTGAAGTGTTAGGTATTTCTAGTCATACTGACATGCGAGTTGTCTGTCTGTTTTGTTAAAAATGAATGGCTTCTTTGGTTTTGTTTGTTTGATAAAATCAAACTTACCTGTTCAAACGAAGTATTTCCTAGCCCCTGTAGGAAAGGGAGAAAACACTTAAGTAAAATGCCATGTAGTGAAAATTATTTCTACTGCTGTGTAGTTCTCAAAGTCTTGACAAACAGAATTCTCTCATGTTGAACCTTAATCAGTGCATCTGGAAAAAAGGTAACTGTCTTTACGTGATGGATGTATTTTGTGGCTTCAGTGTCTTTTGAGGTTCACCTAATGGCTGTTCTCAGAGACTTCTAAACTGAGCCTGTAACAAGAAATCAGTGTAATTTTTTAACATATTCTTTGTATCATTCTTGTAAAGGGTATATTTATTACTACTTGCAAAAGAGAAACTAAAGTAACTTTTTGACAACGCGTTTTGTTATTTTTTTATGCATGCTTATTTTCTGTGAATATAGTGAAGTCATGTTTTTGTTTTTATGAGTACAACAAAGTGATGTTTGTGTTTTTAGTTAAGGTTAATGAAAATATTTTTTTAGAATGCCAGTAGAGGAGTAAAGTAGTTGAAATTGTGCAGTAACATCACCTGTTTACTTCTTACATTGTCAGAACTGTTACTTTGAGAGTCCAAATGACACCTGGCATTTTAGTGACACTTCAGAATTTTTATTTTTAAAAGCTTCTTAAAACTTCTGAATTGTATAAGTTCACCAACTCTTCAGAGACTATCTTCCACATTTAATTTAATGAAAATATATAGCAGATATTGTAATTGTAGCATACTTGAAGAAGCATTTTACTTTTTCCCTCCTAAAATATATGTGGTTTTGACTTGCCCTTTGCAAGTACCTCAGGTTTAAGTTACAGGCAATAGTAAGACAGCAAATCCTTACATAATGTAGGTTTGTGGTTGTTTTTTTTTTTTTTTGATACAAGTATTCAAGACAATTGTTTCTGAAAAGCTTGTTTTAAAAGGCATTCAGGCAGCTAAGACTTGTTGTGGGGAGCACAACTTGAGCTTCTCATCCCCCTTCCCCCTTGCTTTTCCTGAACAAGTAGAATGATTTTCTGTGAACAATAATACTTTCCTTTTCACTTTAGCTCTTAGATCAGTCTTAGGTAATGCGACTATTTGTAGGCAATGTTTCCCCTTCTTTCCTTGGTTGTCCCAGAAGAAGACACAATACTAGATTACTTGTTTTTTTTTGAGAAACGATGTTGTTGACTCCTTAAATTTCTTTACTGATGTGATATATTTTCACATAGATAACAATCGCGAGCAATACACTGCAGCAGTGAAACAAGTTACAACCTCAACTGAATTCCCTTTGGAAATGATAATGATATATAGTTGCGGGTTTTAACTCAAAACATTTCTAGTTGTAGAGATTTACTGGTTAGTGGGATTATATGCCCTGATTCTTGTAATGTTACAGCCTAAGCCTTGACCTAGGGGGATTACTCTGCAAGAGTCAGAGGTGACAAACTTCTATATTGGTTGTGTTCTGAGTCAGTGTTTAGTGTTTCAGGAAGACTGTGTTAAGATCATTGACAAAGTGTAGGCATTTAATTTCTAGCACTCTGATTTAATTGTGATCTTGCTTGAATTTCAAGTGTCTTGTAACTTCTAGGACAAACAATGTTTTAAAACTTCTTTTCTTTAGTGTTAGAGGACACTTGTTGAAGAGAAACATGAAAGGAGAAGGTATTTATTCCTTTGACTATATAGTATTGAGAAGCGCTGTATGTGCAGATTACTAAAAATTTTTTTTTTTCTTTGACTATGGGATGATGCTACCTCTTGCAGAGGCTTTCTGTGCTTTTGATGGCAATTAAAGAAGTGAAACTTACTTCAGTCTTTCCCATTATACTCAGTTGTTTTGTTTTTCTCCTGTCTTTGCAAGCATGCTAAAAGAAAGTGTTTTCCTTTTCTTAGTTGGAATAAGAATGTGTTTATTGTTTGTTATTATAGAGCTCCCTTTTTCTCACTTAAAATAAACAAACAAATCTGAAAACACTTTCCCTGCGTCCCCCTCAACCTATCAGTGATTTGAGACGCAGCCTAATAGCCTCCATTAAATAGGTGAAAATCAATTGCTTGTCTGTGTGGTTCTTAAGACTGTATATTTTGGGGAAATCTGATTTAGAAGGAAGGAATGCTCATGCTGCATTTTCCTTGCCACTCCCCAGGCCCTCACTTTAAAAGGACAAATTAGTTGGTCTTCAAGGATGGTTAAGTTCTGTTTGTTTTTCATGTGTCTGCTTTGTGAAGTGTTGGAAATACTGGAGTGTATGTTATTAATTCTAATGTAATAAGCTTGATCTGGTATAATTCTGCAATATTTCTGTTGATTATGCAGTAAAAATTTGTGTAACTGGGTTGCATAAATAAAACAGCTAACATGACTGATATCTATAATTGTAAGAAATTACTGTCATGGATTAACATATGAACATTGTGTTTGATTAAAAGATAGCTGAAGTCTGGTGTGGAGGCAGGCTTGCCTTACTACAGGTCAATCAGTTATGAATGAAAGCTGCAGATGAAATAAGTGAACTAATCTGATATATCACAGTATCGTATGACAGTAAGTCGTGTAAGCTGCTGATAAAGTCAAATAACTTGGTCAGACTACTGGTGAAAATAAACGTATTGGAAAAGTAGCCTGATATGTAAGTCAGTGAGTTAAGCCACCAAATATTCCTTGTTATACCTGTTGTAATTGCCTCTTGTTTAAAACAGAACTTCCCATTCTTTTGTCCTCCAAAAGTGACTTGTGAAGATAAAGCCATTTCTAATTTAGAAATTGTAGAAGGAGAAGGCAAAGGTCAGAGATATGCTCTATCAGACTTTTTAATCAGTTTTTTTTTGCAAATTTTATTTAAAATTTTCTGTGTTGGTACTATGGTTAATAGCAGTGTTTATGATTTACAGTGAAATTTTGCTTTGTTTTGCTTTCGTCAAAACCACACAAAATGTCGGCCAATACAAACCTGGATCGTTGGGTCTTTTGTGCAATGCCCTTTATTTATTACAGTAACTCCATTAAAGTCCAGTCACAATATTCAGATGCCTGCCATAGGCAATAATAGTGCAATTTTCCTGTGGTTCCCGGTAGATTTGATCTCAATTTCAGTATTTTCTGCCATTGAAACCTTTTAATCTCAGATGTGAGATTAAAATAAATTTTATTTATTTAGGTTCCCTAAATAAATTTTTATTTAGGTTCCCTAAAATAAACCTTTTTTTTTTTTTTAATTTGATTGTTTTGCAAAGAGCTTCCTAGTGTATCTGAGACAATATTTTCCTTTGTGGCCTACTATCTTCAATTTTTGTAGCTTTTTGTTGTACCAGTAGCATTATTTTAGCATGCGACTGTGCACGTGCGTATGTGAGGTATCGGTCAAAAAGCTGAAGTAAGATAAAATGGATGTCTAACAGAAAACAAAGTGTTAAGCGTTTAAAGTAAGAGGTGCAGTTCAAGAGCTAAGTCGCTGAAATATAACACTTCTCTTGCCTATGAGATTCTTCTGAAGTTTATGAAAAATGAGCACACGTATTTGTGCGTGGACAGCTTTGGGCACAAATCTTGTGTGTACCCAGAAATTCCTCATACCGGACCTACATGCAAAAAAAATTCAGAATGTATCTAGGTAGTTGTATCAATTAGGTCCTCTTTTATGCAAATTCAAGATGCTGCACTTTCCACTTCTACTAATGTACTGAGTTTGTAAGGAATGGATTGGGATAGGCCACTAATTAGTGACTTGATGCAAAGCCCATTTAAGTTGATAGCCTGCCATTAACCTGAGTTTCCCTAAATTAGGGCCATGTGTCTTGAGACTGGACACAATGGCAATTCTTTAGCAGCTCTATTAAGTTACCAAACAGTGTTTCTAAAATTAGCAAAACCGGACTTGATTACTGTTTGTCAGTCCCCTAAACTCATACTTCCTTTTTAGTTTTGTATCAGCAGTTCCTTGTAAAACAAAATAACAACAACAACAAAAAAAAACAAACAAAAAAACCCACCAACAAAGCACTTGGGAGAGTTACCTGGATGGGTAATGTTTTAAATGCCTAAATTCATTAATCTACAGCAAGTGTTGAAGTGAAAAGGCACTCTTAACACTGACAGCCGAATCACGGCCTTGGAGAAAACTGTAGAAAGATGAGACTTTTTATGTATGGAAATTAGTGCTCCTAACCTTTCAAAATACATTCTTTTTCTTCTTTTTATCAGAACTGTGATTCCTAAGAAGAATCAATCCTCTGATACCATTTTATATGTGTTTTTGATGCAGTCTCCCATTGAGGTATAGGAAATTCCTGATGCTTGCTCCTGGTCTTTGAAGTAAGGAGTTGATGAGAGGTCTCATCTAGTCATATAGTCTCGTTCTACAATGTGTTAGATCATGACAAACTCCTTTAAATTACAAAAAAAAAAAAGTGGAAGGCCTAAATTTCAGGAATTTGATACATGTTTCTGGTTTTGTTATCTAAAATATGTTACGATCCTGTGTGTTTTTCTTTACTGTTCAAAAGAAGATAAGTTTGTGTTGTGTTAAATGCCAGAAATCTAGGGTGGCCTGTTAAAATAAACATTAGGTCGTGCAGCTATGTGGCGTTTCCACTGTTTTGTTTTTTTTTTTTAATATCTAGTTTGTCCTCTAGCTCCATTAAAAGTGAACCAACAGACCTGGTGACTTGATATTTCATCTTT